AAGGAAATTTTTGATGCTTGTAGTGACACATGCTTAAAAAAAGTTTTTTCGGTTCATCCTACAGTATAACACCAAGGCAACCTAATGACATGCAAGTGTATAACATGCAAGTACTGAAATTGCACAAATGTGAAATCACTCAAATGCAAAATTTATTCAAATGTGGAAATGGCATAAAGAGGGGAAAGTTAAATTACAAGCAATACTTGTAAATATTGAAAACTTGTAAATATCATACGACAAGAGGATACTGTTCCATAATATGTCTATTACTGGGGATATTTTACGTCTGCTCGATTATCACACTAACACAGTGTTTTAACCACAGTGCTGAGATTCCCAGTCACTGTTATAGCCATTATATAAAGCTTCCTAACTCTCCCTGGACTGGGGTGTATAACTAAGATGGTATCTGGAGGTGATTGATTCGAACTCTACCAGCAACTAATGAATATCTTTTCTGCACATTTCTCCGCCCCCATAATTTTTGAGACTGTGTATTTTGCTAAAAGATATGCATATAATTTTTCAATTTTGAATACATGGAGTTTTCAAATTCGACTATTCTTATTTAGGGCCTATCTTGACACATTTCCGCTCAATTTTGAGAAAGCTTTCTTTTCGGTATATAGGTCATCTATTTTCCACCATTTTGCTAGAATTTGATCTTGTAACCTTAATCTATGGATTTTTATTATTGACTGCTTCACGTGCAGTTTAAAAGAATTATATCATATTTCAGACTATCCTGACTGATGTATTTTCGATTTCTTTCTGGCAAGAAATCAGCTTGTTCGTTCTCAAATGTGCCACAGTTCCCAGGTATCCACTGGAACACAATACAACTCAACTTCTGCAAGTGCTCCTGAATATGGCAGATCTCATCCAAGGAAGGAGTGAAACCAAACAATTTGCTTGAATTGAAGTCTAGGAATCAGAAAGCAAAACCGCTTTAATGGATCTATTCCCAAGAGCCAAAAACTGAATCACCTCAACCTCTCCATCAAAGGCTGATCAGTATACTTCTATGGAAACATAAAATGAGAATACATTTTGGTTCCCTCCTAAATAGGCAGCCATAAAGCCATTGAAGTAGGAGCCATCCGTATAAATATGTGAGAACTCGGGCTCTGGGTAACTTGAACTATTGGTTTCCAAAATGCAACAACTTAAGACGTATGCATAGATACCACTCTTGAATAGCTTATTTTGAAGATACATATTTATTTCCATCTGTGATTCACTTAAGGAATTTATGAGTTCCTGTATAGTATTTGGGAGTTCTCCTTTTTTAATGGTGCGCCAGGTCTGGGTAGGATATCCTCTGAAGCAAGTTCTTAGTTGCCCAAGACTCTTCCAGTTATAACTTTGAGAACTCTTACATCTCTTTCTAAACAGTCGATCCACCGAATCCTTGGTCTTCCCTTTTTTGGGCTCCAGATCAGGTGTCCAGCCCATTTTAAACTTTAAACTGATATTAGGGAGTTTAAAAATTAATTCCGTCTGTTGGACAAATTAAAACAATCCGTTTTGAGTCTTTAGATTTAAAGCACTAAAAGAATAGTTGATCTTGCAGCTGTTGTTCATTTTAATTAATCAAATTCTCATAAAGGATAAAATGTTGTATTGTACAGATTGTATATTAAAAGTTAGGGAAAAATGATAATTAATACATGTAGCATTCATCTACGTTAATTTTATTTATTTAAAATATGTTCAGTTTCCTTTGTGCTACTTTTTAGTAGGAAACGAATTACTATTTTGATGAATTACTATTTTGGCGAATTAATGTTAAACGATGCTTAATAATATTTTAGAATCATCGCAACTACCTACTTCAAAAAGCAAAAACTCAAAACTCAACTCAAAATATTTCCCCAGCACTTGGCTTGATGTAGCTGCATTTTCCCTTGAGGTGAAAGTCCTTCCATGAAAAGTCGCGAAACTCTCAAGAGAGGTGAAGTTTTGGTTCATGAGTTCTTTGTCTGGATAGAATTCCAAGAAAAATAAAATAAAGCGGCCAGAATTCTAACTCATTATTTATTTTATAAACCAAATAAAATATCTATTTATTTTCTTTCCCTTTGAACACGATATGGAAGGTGTACAAATATAACATTGCGAAATAAAAATATAACATTGCAAAGATGTTCTTGTCTACTGTGTAGATTCATTCCACTTTTGAAATAAACTCTAAAAAGCTCATTCAAAGTTTAAAAATGAACTGAAACAAATATAAATAAAAAAATATTAATCGTTGAACATTAAACGGAATGAAAAAGAAAACCTTAATTACTTACTAATTTTAAAGCCTAACTTTACGCTAATTAACCCTCAGTCGTATTTAGCCTACAGTCTTTTCCGCATAGCAAAACCGGTTTTTTCATATCATTAGTTAGAGAAATAGTGTATGGGGGAAAAACATTCTCCCAATTTTTCCCTTTTGCTAAACCGTTATTGGGTTAATTACTGTAGGCGATATTTTAAGTTATGAGATCAAACCAACTAATCGTACTGAAACTAATACCTACTTTCTTTAAATAAATACAAGTTGATTTTTGGATTTGAATTTTCCCTTTTCTGAAATTTTCTCATCTGAATTCTCATTATCTGAAAAATGTTGTCCCAATCGTTTGGCGATGGCTCATTGGTCAACGCACTGCGCAATAATTGTGAAGAACTGAGATCCGATTCTCATTCATAATTGACTGCTTTATGCCCACTCACCTTCAGATCAATGGTACCTACTTTGCTAGGGAAGTAAGGGTGACCTGTACGCAATGTTAACCACTTTGTCACAATAATACCTTTGTTCACGAAATTGTTGTGCTTTAACTGCCACGAACTCAAAGTACACAGCGGGCTGTAGCGGAAACACTTTACTTTTTTAAAAAATTTTGTCAGTACAAACGGTTGCTTGTTTAGATCCTGTTTCCGTATTTTAAATAAGCCGTACTTTTGATGTCAATTTCTAATGGGCGATAAAATTGACAAGATACTTTCCATAAAATAGAATTCGGTCAATAAAAAATTGAGTGCCTTATAATTCATTACTTCCAACAATTGGTGAATTCAGTATTTTAAAGTAATGAATTATCATAAAAAAATCATTTTTCTGATAAAATTGTATTTGAATGGACAAGCTTTACAACTGGATGAAAAAACTTGCAATTCAAACAAGTTATAAAGCACGCATTAAAGTTGGTCATTAGATATTACCTTGTAATTTCTAATGAATTCCCCTTTTTGCTTGATACTCAAATATAGAATTTTAATTTTTTTTATCTTAAATTGTCATGTATTCAAATAAATTATGTTTAAAGTTGCAAAAAAGATTAAAGTTAGATTCAAAGTTGTAAAAATTACGTTTACTAAAAGTAAGTTAAAAATTAGGAAGCAAAAAATGTTCAAACTTTTTCATGCGTCAAAATTTGCATTACAGGTAACGCACGGGTTCGAAGTCTGTCATAATGGCTTTAGCAAATCGATTTAGGAATTAAGTATGTTCCTAATTTTATCCCCAGTCCCGTACCTTTAGGGAAAAGAAAGAAAAATGTCCTAGAATAAAAGAAGAAAAAAAACGTGATTGTTATCCACACAGTACCATGCCAAATGATGTCATAATGACAAAAAATTTTACCTGCTTCGGGCCATTAAACGATGCCAGGCAAAATCAATGAAATATTTTCTAAAAAAAGACAGGAAAAATAGAAAGTCGAAATTTATATGCATCAGTGTTTCATAAGGTTCTATTTTTATGCTGCCTTTAGAAAAGAATTTTTAAGACAGAGGAAAGCATATGGGAAGTTGGGAGAAAAATCAGAGAAAATAGGAAAGAGATTATGGTCCCCATTCCCTTATCTCACATTCTTTAAAATCGCATCTCATTTTTTTTTCCTTCCTTGCCCTGATTTTTCTTCAAAGAGAAAAGTAGAGAAAGTTCGAGAAACGCACCGCTGAAAAGAGCGCATCGCGGTTTATTGTTCCGGTATTCTGAAATCCTTTACTGAATAATGCATTAAAATAAAATTGTTTGGAGATTAAAGATCTGCAGTGGTGTATTACTTTCAAAACATTGGGAAGGATTATTTTCGGTTTCATAAGCATTCCGGGATATATATTTTTGACGTTGCAGGTAAATCTGAGAAAAGAGCAGTTCCTGTGAAGTTCTTCAGTTTGTTGATGAAAATGCAAATGTATGGTAATATTCCTCTGGATTAGAATATTTGATATGAGTGAACAAAAGTGATTTAAAAGGGGTTCGTTAAAGAACAATATATTTCTTTGAAACAAAGTTAATAATAGAATATATCCATAGAAAAGTTTTAAAAAATGCGTTTTTATTTAAATAAAAAACTTAAGTCGAATGCTAAATTCCTATTTAAGTAAAATACATTTAAAATTAAAATTTAAAAAATCAATTATTTCATGAACTAAAGTCGGTTTAGATCGTGAGCCAAAGATGGTTTATGCTTCGTTCATAACCTCAAGATCATTTTTATTTCTAAATTTTTGATACTTGAATTGCAATAACGCATTTCTAAATACAGAAAACAAACCTATGCTTCACGTTTTCATTTATTTAAAAGCTATTGATTGAAAAAGTATATGTCTCTTAAAATGCATATACCAATTTCGAAATTACAAATTTAGGAAAATACAATACGACTAAACAAGTTGCCATATTAAAAGGTGTATTTGTTCATATTGGATCAAAATTTTGAATAATCAAGTATCGTGCAAAATTATCCAAGGAAGATATATTTTCCCGATAATTTCAGTCAACTAGTTACTGAATTATATATTTATATATATATAGATAGAAAATTTAAATGATTCGATGGTTTAACAAACTTCAAAACTTTTAAAGTGTAGTTGTCAAACTTTTAATTATAATAGTTAACTCGAAAGAGAAATTGCATTTGCAAAGTATAAACTATTGGTATAATTTTGCATAACTATATTAATCACTTGATTCGAAGTGCTTCTTAACTTTTTGTCTACATATGTTTCAATAAAATCAAATTATTAATAAAAACAATATCTTCACCTTTTTTCCATCGAACACTACGTATAGGGTGTCCAGATAAAGCACAATCCACATTAACCTCGTCCCCAGTCACCACAGTAATGTTATCCATATGATGTACGTATGGGGTTCCAAAAACAGATATCCTAGCAGTATGGCTTATTGCACCAATCTCATTTCTGGCATGGCATGAGTATATGCCACCGTGTTCAGTCGTTATCTGTGATATATTAATAAAGCTCATAAGCAGACCTTGAGAGTCCACAAAATCACCGATTCTGACACCTAAACCTTCCATTACTGGTCTACTGTATAACCTCCATGACACCTGAGGAAGTGGATTGCCTGTTACTAAGCAATGGAGAGAAGTCTTGGCTCCTGGTCTAAGGATATGGTCCGAAAATACTTCCCTGAATTCTGGTGGATCCTCTGAAAAAAGAAAGAATTAATGACACTAATGCTGGAATTATAGTTACAACTATGCATAATTATTAAAATGAAATTTTAAGGAAATACAATGAGCATATTTATAAGAGAATTGTAAATATGATAGCTGGAATATGGATTAAAAACTTTAATGTGAATTGCAAATTGCAATTACATCTTTTCAATATGTGTTTTCAATATTTCGTACACTATACCTGTAATAGGGAAGGCGCCAGATACTGTTGGTAAGACGTTGGTTGTTGGTGACTGTAACCAATTACCGGAATGCTACAAATTGCCGAATTGCGGCTCCGAAAAGATATGCGCAGAAATTGAATTCCAGTCTGCGCAAATTGCTTGGATACAACGTAAAAAATTAATACACGTTTACTTTTACTAATCATAGGTCTCACACAATTCTGTGTAAAAAAACAGTAACAAACAAGATTTAAATATTTAATCTCTGATTTTTTTTTCTGTAAGCTTCAGGGTGATCGAAATGATATTGTTTACTTCAGCGTTGTTTGGCATTAGATCGACTCCTTTATGCACTTTATACACTGACAATGGCACCAATTTTTTGCTTCTTTATCCCATTAGTGATCTTCCAAAAAATTTAAATTTAATTTTATATCCTTTTCTTATACTTTATTTTGAATATGATTAACTTGAAGAAAAAAAACGATTTAGATGCATGGGGAGATCAAACATTTAGATGTATTTAATTTTGTACGGTTGTTTTGGAACAAAACATAACCTATATCTGCTTAAATAATAGAATAATATAGAAGGAACCAGAGGTAATATTTCAAAACAAAAAGAATAGCACTTTTAAAATTATAATGGAGTTTCGACTTTAAAACTTTTAAGCTACACAAGATAATATCTTTAATGAGATTTTGTTGTACTATCTATATTAGTTTACCGTTACCCTTACTTAAACTTGAAATACAGCTCAGCTAGGAATTTATTAAATCGATAATTTTAACTCATTTATTTAATAATTTTTAATTTAATACAAATATATTATATTTTTAGCAAATGGGATTTAGGAAATATATGCAAAAGCAAGTCTGGATTCTGTAAAAATAGCAATGCATTTTCAAGATCAATTTAGTGATATATATATATATATATATCTACATACATATTTGAAATGAGTTCATTCTACTGTATGCAAATTAAAACAAAGATTTTCCGGATTGAAGTTTTTTTTATTTTCTTGAATATTTTTGAACTATATTTTATATTTAAAAGAAAAATTAAAAGCTTTAATTTTATTAACAGCTTTCAAGAAAAGAGCAATATTACATTTTTAAAAAAAAATAGTAAAAAAATAATGCTACGGTATGGCATAATTTTTAAAAAAACAGCTACATTTAAAAAAAAAAACATCTTTTAAAAACGATAACAAAATGTCTTATTAAATTTATTTCTATACATTTTGTCGAAGGATTGTTAAAATACTATTAAATGAGGACATGTTTAATGATGTTTAAACTATCCATTAAAATATCTAAAAGTGTTTTTTGTCATTATATACTTTGCTAAAATAACACAAACATTATTAAGATTTGGGGAAATAATTACTTCAAATAACTCAAATCTTAAGAGTTAAAGAAAATCCATTTTAAATATTACTTCGAAAAATTCATGAAATCGATTAAAATAAACAACATTCTATCAATTACTGTCTTTTAATCTTAGCAGTACTTGTTCAACTGCCATTAGCATCAAAATATTCATATTTATTTTCTGATTTAATGCTTGTTTAAATGTCTCTCAAAATACGATTACTTCGGAAGTTTTCTTCCTCTTAATTGTAAGCTACTAGCAGAAAATATTTTAACGATAATGATGCGCAATTCAGTCAAGAGCGAGTTATTTTAATTAACTCATTTAAGGAACTTTTGAGGCATAGATCTCAAGCACACTTATCAGTGAAGCCTTTAATGGAACACGAAAAATTTTCTGATTGCAAACGGCTTAGTGGTCCAAAGATTTCGTTGGAAAAAAGTTAGTTCGTTAAGTGAAATATTAATTCATAAGTTGAACATTTTATTGTAATTGAAGTATGCTCAATATGTAAATATTTTCCTTTCCAGACGAAATTTCTTTTTATTGACGTTTTCTCGCTAAGAGTTTAATGTCGTAATTTTTGTAAAAACTGTCACGAAGTAACTATATTTTCAAATAAAAAAAACTAGTTTTAAATTAGTATTATATTTTGTTGCAGTAAATATTCTTTTTTCAAAGCACACTGTAAGGAATATCTCGAAAAAAAAACTTAAATAACAGCTTATTTAATTGTTATTTTACCATTGCTTTAGTTATTTTACCATATTTAAATTAAACAGTTAAATAACTATAAATTTGATGGCATTTAAACTGTTAACAATGAGAAAACCGTTTATTAATTACTTTCACCTAATACGGTTTAATCACCAGAATTTTATCGCAACAACTGAGCCCACCTAATTCATCAACTTAATTCCTTGCACCAGTGTACATGTTCGAGGTAGAATGGCTAATCTCTGACCTACAGAACAAGGGTTTCAGTCCCAGAGTTGGCACCACAAAATTTCCTCCATTCCCTTCAAATGAAGAGTTTCCAGTGTCCTGTTCTCTCCAATGCCCATATGAAACGCTTAGCTCTAATGTCCTGTTAAATTTCAATTTTACGCTGGTTTAAAACCAGTTTTCATGACCATTATGAAAAATTGTCTTTATCGCAAACTTTACGGTTAATTGGATGGACAAACTACAGCCGGTTATTTTACCATAATGTTAGATACACTGTTAAAATTTTCATTCTAAAATTATGGTAAAATAACTGGCAGCTGTCTGTCCATCCGATTAACCGTAAAGTTTACGGTAAAGATCATTTTTTTCCTTTACGTTTTTGAAACCATTTACAACTAGCATTTTTCAAAAAAGCAAGAATTTTTTTTTATTTTTAACTAGACATAGGAGCTCGGTTTTTCGTTAGGCAATGGGCATTGGAGAGTGCCGGACACCGGAAATTCTTCCTGTGCTGTAGAGAATGGAGGACATATTGTGGTATCAACACTAGGACTCGAACTCCAGTTCTGCCGGTCATGAGGTTGACAGATAAGCTCGCTCGAATATGATGAAGCAGTTGCTAAGAACTAAGTAGCTTCATTAGGTGGTTCTAGTTGGTGAGATAAAATTCTGCTGTTTAACCGTATTAGGTGAAAGCAGTTAATTGAAAGTTTTTCTCAAACTTAACAGTTTGATTACCATTTTATTTATGGTTATTTGACTGTCTTGATTAAATATGGTAAAATAACCATTCAATAAATTGTTATTTAGTTATTTTTTCCGAGAAATTTCTAACAGAGTAGAAAATTTTAACAATGGGTGCATAGCGTAGCTATACACTATAACTCTTTTTGATTATCGTAGTTTTTCCCATTGCGTAGTCCAAAATAAATAACGCGATAGTTATTTATAATGATACTACTATAATGATGTATATAATGACACTGATTACTTGATAGTTATTTATAATTACTTTCAATTTAAGGTCGAAAGTGTCGTTCTAGTTTTAAATATACTAAAATGTCATTAAACATTCACTTGAAATAAGTTCAAGAAACCCTTATTTTGATATTACATAATGTTAAATGGAATACTTTAACAATTTCTAAGGTACCAAAAAAATCAGTGATAGATTATTTTCTTACCTAAACCTATTTGAAAGGACTCGCCAAGGAAGTACTTGTCACACTATTTATCAAAACTGTCCCTTTGGGGTACTTATTAGAAGAAGATTGAATATCGAAGAAGGCCTCATTAAATGACATATTGGAACGCATTTGGTTCATAATTGCAGTCTGGAGACTCTGAAACCTAATGAAATGTTCTCTTTTCTACATATTTCAATTTATTTCACATGAATCAGGAAATGGTTTAGTAGGTATTCCATCATCAGCAAGGGATATGGGTGAAGATAATTTAGCGAAACCAAATGTATTATATTATTCTAGGAGCTTTTTCCCCTTTTTAGAAGCTCCAAGTAATTAAATGTAAAATAAATTGAAATTAAATTGAAATAAATAATTAACATGTAACTAAATTGCAATTAAATTCTCACCTTGAATAATAGTAACAAAAATAATTTAAAATAAACTGTCCAAGAAAATTATTTATTATTTAAGAATAAAGTATACAATAAAGTATATTTTGAGAGTTAGTTTTCTTAATAGTTAATTTTGTTACACTGAAGTTAATGTGTTTAAAATTAAATGAATTATTTTTGTCTACTAAATAAAAACATGCCTAATTTTTAAAGGATCTTATGTTGCAATAAAACTATTCAGTATTTTCATTTTTAAATAGAATTATAATTTTCCCTAATACGAATACGATATAATTGCGTCATATCTTAAGTATATACATATATTTAGAAAATGAATTCAATAAATATCACAGTTTAAAAAAATTCGAATAAAGTTCAGTTAATTTTTTAAAATAAATTACGCCTTTTTTTCAAGAAAATATGAATGATGAAGCTCCTTTTTCTAGTTCTAAATTATTTCAATTTAAATTTGAAAATGCAGTTTTTATTAAGTAAATTACTTGCAAATTATTAGAAAAGGCTGGATTTTATAAATTACATAAGACTTAATGATATTAACATCAGTTGAATTAATTGTGTTTGCTTAGTAGAAATAAGAAACAGTATATCTAATTTTACAAGGCTCTCATGCGTTGTACTATAACTACTCAATAATTAACTTTTTTTAAATCGAGTCATAATTTTTAAAAATACAAATATGATAGAATGGCGTCATTTTTTTAAGTATATACATATATTTAGGAAAAGAATACAATAAACATTTTGTTTTAAATAATATAATAGTTTTTAGTGTTCTTAATTTATTTTTTTAAAACAAATTGTGGCTCAGTGTTTTTTCGAAGGAAATATAGAAGAAGAAGCTGCCATTTATTGCTCAAAATTATTTAAATTCATTAAGGTT